AACTTGGGCAGTGTGGCTTGAGCTCTTGTTATTTTGAAACAATGCACCCTCATATTCATACAGATTTCCCAAATTAACAGACCATCCAGAAGCAGATTTCTGAGATAAGCAGCACTTTCTGCAAGGAAATAATACTGCCAAAATATAAATACAAAAAGTATATGTTGCTCATCAATAACATGGCCGCTAATCAAATTCCAGTGCAAGGCTAATCGCACACAAAAATGTGCTTGATATGAAAAAAACAATAGTTCAGGATACGCCGTCTTTTTTTGTGATATAAGAAAGGAAAAATAATCAGAAAGATGTTAGCATTCCTGTATTTTTCAGTTTATGCCATTTTTCCTGTGTATTTTTTTAAAAATATGGAAATTATATGGAGAAAGTAGAGAAATAATAAAGTAATTGTAGATGGCAACAGAGATAAAATAGTTCTTTCACATAATCAAATACATACCCCATCAATGTAAAATTATTTTTGACAGTACATTTTTCCAGTACTTTGTCATGGCTGGGTTACAAGACTTATATACCAATTTAATTTATGGAGACGACGTTGTAAGGATATAGAAGAGAAGTTGATTGAATTCAACTTTCAAAGTAAAAATACTTTACATAAACTTTGTATTATAATTAATTTAGATGCTTATTATACAGTTTAGAAACACAAGTCCATCTTTAGCACTCAGAACAGCATTATCTGAGGTGACATCAGTTACTCATGACTTATAATCTTCAACATGATTTAATATAAATTTACCGCTTTCTAGACACTGTAAGATTTCATATAAAATATAGTTGAAACTGATTCCAAACTGGTTACTGGAAATGAAAAGCAAGTGCTATGATCATCACATGGTGTCTTACCACACTCATCTGATAATCACAACAAAGATCACCTTTTTATACACATTTTGAAGGTGAATTAGGAAAGTAACCACTCCTATATCTTCAATATCACAGTCTGGACTCAAAGACATGAGGAAACTTGGTTTAAGAAAATACAACTTTGCTGAAGTCTGTCTTCTTTCATCCAAATGATCCTTATCCTGCTTAGAATTAATAAATCTATGAAAGGCAACTCTTATCTCTTTAATAATAATAATTTCCTTGCAATACACTCTTCATAATAAGTAGAAATTACATACAGCACAGCAGATGAAAGTAAAAGCCTACAGATTAGATTTACAATATATTACAAATGCCTTTCTGTGTGTCAACACACTCTTTATCGAGAAGGTTTCCATCACTTTTATCGTGCTGATAAAGTAGATTATTTTTAATGATAAATGGAAAACTTTTAGGGAACTATATGCAATGTCATGTCTCTATCCATTGCCAAAGGATATAAACCATTACTTACTGTTTAAAATGACTCAATCAAAAAACCTACTGCATTGAATGACTCAACCAAGCCAACTCCTCTATCCCTTTTCATGTGCATCCCAATTAGAGTCATAACAGTTACAAGCTGCAAAACAATTGAAATAGACTTCTGATTTCCCAAAGCGGTTATGCTAGGATTTGGCTTGTTCTCTATGATTTCTAAAGGGGATGAAGAGAAGGATGGGTTATAGATAAAAGAAAACTACAGGTACCTGATCCAGTTTCCAGTGGAACTCTGCAGGACGAAAGGTGTCAGCCTGATCAAAGTCTTTGCGCAGCAGAAATACTAATCGGCAGTTGTGCACGTACAGGGCGTAGTGGTGTCGGTTCATCTCTGGAAGGAGGGACCAATAAGATCAGTGATCTGAACTACCATCAACACTTTTGTTTAGGTGAATGTGTTTGAAAGCAATATACACCTAAAAGACAAAAAAACCAACCAAATAAAAAAACCACAAAGAACTGACTTTTCTCAATATCATGGGTCATTATGCTTCTCAGGGAAGCCACGTATGGTAAGCATCATCACGAATTATGCCATATTAGTTTTGTTTATGGAAGCATTATGTCCAAATTAACAAACAAAATCCAGATCAATCTAACTATTTTCAATGAAGAATTAGAACTGATTTCACAAACTAAATAATAAAAAAATTAAACTTAATTATTTTATCAACCAGTTCCTATAAATCCCTACAGATGTGTTCACAGAGATTATCCAAGAGAAGCGGTGCTTGAAACTTAGACACCAGTCCCCTCAATAAGCTATCAAGTCAGCAATGCTTAGATCCAGATAAGTTTTTTTTCAGACCAAATTACCTGAGGAGAGATGGTAACAATTTACTAACTTTGTTATTGTTATGTCCTTTGCCAAACTTTTTTTCAATATACAGACTCACCTGTCTTGTCAGAGTTGCAAAGAATAGTCTCCTTCTCAGCTCTTAATCCTGGACTAGGTCCATGTTTCATCCACAGACTGATGGTGAATTGATCAGTTAAGTTCTTCGGGACTATTCCATCTGGGATTTTAGCTCCTTGCTTTCCATCAAATTTAAAAATCATGTCATTGTTATCCATGAGAAGCCCAGCTGTCCAGTTAGTTGTTGCACTGGGAGATGGTAACAGGTCAATGGCACCTGAGGAAGCTCCTGCAAATGATATATAATGAATAACATGATGAATGACTAATGAAAAAGCTGTGAAGATTAATTTAATATAGGCCAGGGGTCAGTTTACACTCTAGATTATTTTTACTACCCAAATGGTCCTAATGGCTTTACTGTCAAATCAAATACACATTATACAATACCAACCATAGTAAGCTAGTAAGAATTCTCTAGATCAAATGTATTGCACAGAAAACTACTTAAATTCTAAAATTAATTAATCACATTTCTTCACTTATTTCAAGAACTGCTAAGACTAATACCAAATTCTCTACATCCATCTGGAAGCTTTACGTCTTCCCTCTCTGACAGCATTGGGATATACGGTATGTGGGGACAGTGTGTTGCAAAACACAGTACAGTGAGGATGAATGTGGGACAAGTCTCCTAATGTCCAGTAGGTAGCCACAGATATTCACAATAACGTTGGTATGAATGCCAGTACATACAGAGTAATCACTCTGAACAGATAATATCACTTTAATGCCAGCTTCTGGCAGATACATAATGGTTGTAACTCCATGTGTTCTTGTCTAATGACAGATCTAAGACTGTCAAGTGGTACTCACAATTCAGATTAGCCTCCCTGCCCCAACCCAAAAGTAAATGATTAGCAGAGGTCCCCAGCTACACAGTATTTGCTAGAATCAATTGGAAAAAAAAAAAATCAAAAACAAACCAGAACTGGAACTCACTGTGGCACAAAGATCTGACAAAACAGCACAGTTCTTTACAGCTTTATGCTTTCTTACGGCTTAACAACTGTCAGACACTTTTAAAAACATGTATGGAGCTACCCAGAGCCTTTACTTAGTTGCGGAAAAGTACCATTCTAGCAGGAAGCGTGCTTGCCAGAGAAAAAAGCACAAACAATCTTTGTATTATTGTCGATGCTTTGTCATGTAAGAATATGGTGACCAAATCACAATCAAATAAAACATCCCAACCTAGTAAGACATCCCACCCTCCTTCAGCATCCAAGAAGAGAAACAAGATCCCAACTCTCTGCAGGAGTGTACAACTGTGAGCCAAGAATGTGTGGAACTGTATCCTGTGGATTTTTAAAAAAAGTATTAGAGTAATTATATTAAAACATTCATATCAATCAAGTAACTGAATTTCTTAGACAATTATCCGAAATTTATTACTGCAAAATGAGGTTATTTTGAAGTGATAGTAATATCAACCTAACACCAACATGTTTAGAATTTGAGCACAAAGTATATTTTATAAATTCTAATTCTGGATTATACCCCACACTTTGCTTCATACACAGATACTATCAACAAGAACACATCAAACTCAATTTGTCCAGATGGCACAATTTGTGATAAATGTTTTATTTTTAATTCAAGCCACTAAAAAATAAAATTACTTGCACAGGACAAAAGTAAAACCATAATTTTCTCCATCCATTTCCTTTTCTGTTAATTTTTATGGCCATTTTTTTCACTTACAGAAGGAACAGACATTGCTTGCACGATGGTGTATATCAAAGGAAATTTGCTTTTAAATGGGCACATGCTTATATTAGGTAAATTATGGGCTCAAAGAAGAAGCTTCATCCCTCACTCACTCTATCTACTCTGGCCATAAAAATCTGTGAAGATCTATTTTTTCCACTAGAATGAATCTGTGGGAAAACTCCAAAAAGAAAGTCTCTCATATCACTTGTTAAACTCCTATTCAGCAAGGTGCTTCAGTAAACTACCTTATTTTCCCAACTTAAGGTCAGGCTTGTGTAGGAGCATTTGGGTAATCAGTACCAAGCTCAACAGGTTCTACTTTACTGCCCATCTTTTTATGGAGATTTATGGGTTACTTTGGAGACTCATCCTGTTAACGTGTGTTAATCCTGCCCTAGGAACAGCTATTGGATTTTGTGCTTGGGAGATTTAGCTGGAAGAAATCATACTGTTTCAATCCTCATACATCCAACCAGCATCCCAAGCTGCTCAGTCATTCAAATTATTACTTTTCAATCAGATCAAAAACTTTCTTTGAGCCTTCTGCAAAGATAAACAACCCAGGATAAAGGAGAGAGGGTAGGATCTATCCTCTTAGCTGGAGCATAGCCTTGAATACAATACTCAGCATTTCCATAATTCATTTTCACATCTGCCATATGTGAGAACTAGCAATCTCATTATTTTCTATTTTATCTACATTTAGAGGGAAAGAAGACAGCACCATAGTCATCTTTCCACCATATTCTAGGTCCCTTAACTGAATATTTTTTAGTGAGAATTTTTCTGGATATGTTTATGCAGTCCAAATTGTGTCTTCTACACATTCGTTATTTCTTATTATTGTTGGAAGATGAGGTGAAAAAATGCTTACTAAAATGCTTTGAGGAACAACACTAATAACTCCTTGACTTGAAAATGACTCAAGCATAATTCAACCATTTAAACTGCCGACCTTGACCAACAAAGTGAACAGAAATCACTAGGTTATTGAAAGGCAGACTTAAATCATCAGTCAGATAAAAAAATAAATTGAATGCACTGCCCTTAGCATCTGAACTATCTAGATTTCCAGCAGATAAATGAAAAATTAAGCACAGGATTTATAAACCAAGTCCCTAATTACAGAGAGAGAATCTTGCATTTTATATGGCACAGATGGATAGTTGTCTGTGAATGCTCAGTTCTGTGCTCTCTGCAATCACACAGTGCTTTACTGGTAGAAAAAAAAAATCCAGGGTTTTCTTCCTTTTCAAAGAATTTCTTCATCCAGCCATTACATACAAAGAGGTCATTTCTGGGAGAAAACTGATTTTCAGAAATAACCTGCCTTCATAAGACTTCTGTACATTAAGGGTGGTAATAAATACTAAACACCAAAGTGTAAGCTAGTCCAAATGCAATCCTGATGTAAAGTTCATTTTCATTTACAACCTTTTTATCAAAGTCCTATTATAAGTTTCTACCCTGCCTGTTCTTCTCTATGAAGATATGGAAACCCTGGACCAAAGTGGGAATTTTTCACCCAATTCACATATACTTTTTACATTCTATCTGTTTTCTCAAGTGCTTTACATTCTGTTTCTTCACGGATATGCCGAGTAAAAACTGGAAGCTCAGCAGTAACATTAGACAGTACATCTGTCCACCCGTTCAAAGGCTGCCTGAAGCTACTACAATGGCATTGACAGACCCGCTGAAATGGTTTTGCTCATTCTGCTTTTCACCAGTTTAGGCCTACACATGGTGCATACAATGGATAAAGATTGGACGAGTATTGGAAAACATCTGGCTCATTCAAGAGAAAAAGAGAAAGACTTGGAATTCTCTTTTCTACTGCTCAAGTGTCAGCAGGTAGGCAGTCAAGCCACATTGGGGCCTACACACGGTGCATACAATGGATAAAGAAAGACTGGACTAGTATTGGAAAACGTCTGGCTCATTCAAGAGAAAAAGAGAAAGACTTGGAATTCTCTTTTCTACTGCTCAAGTGTCAGCAGGTAGGCAGTCAAGCCACATTGGGCAAACTGAACCCCTTAGACTTTGCACAATTTTCCTCAATTTAGGATGCTACACCAGCAGAAGGTACCTACTTTTGTCCTACACTTAAAATGTTATCTATTAGTTGCTATTAGTGTTTTATGTCAATGTAATCATTTGATGGTTTAGATCTTGCGTGCAATGATCTGCTCTGAATGACTGTGCCATTTGCAGTTCAGGTCTGCATCAGGCACAAAGCAATTTTTTTGCTGCCAATACAGGTTCTTAGAGGAGGGAAAAGTACTTGACTTTAGCTATAACATACTTATTTTTATTAAAATACTAGTACTTTGTGAAATCAGCTCCCCAATAGGTCACGTAGCCTTGCTCAACCTCTCAGTTTTGATGTCATTAACATGATGAAGATGCACACTGTTGGCAAATGGGTTTTCTCCTGCTTTTTTTCTAGTATCCCAGTCAGTTGGATAAAAATATAGGATTAAAATTATTACTGTTTCTGTAATCTTACATAAGCAACATTCAGGTTGAAAATATTCAGGTTTCATGAGAATGCTCACTCCCACTCACCTTCACCTCACTTTCCCAATCTCCACAAGTAATTGATAATCGTAACTGCAAACTAATTTTTCCCTGGGAATTGGGTCTCCATTTTTAATAATTTAGTAACACTGGTTGATGATTTTAATTTACAAAAATTATTTCTTAAAGGTTAGTGTATTGATCTTAACATATCTGCAACACTGTTGTGTGGTTATCAAAGCAAATGTCAGCCATACAGCAGAGCACCACAAACCAAAATCCATGCATTTAAATGGAAAAAAAAAAAAAAAAAAGTACATTTGCTACTGTAGCTTGAACAGGAGCCAAGCAAAGAGACATTTTGGAGAAGATGAGAATCAGTGTTCCACACCATCAGGGCTTCAGATGAGGACTCCAAGATTACAGGATTTTAGAGGAGAAGGAGAGACAGCAGATGTCAAAAGGCAAAAGATAAACAGCTTAAGGAGTGGCCATTGCTTTGCTATACACGTAATCTTAAAATACAGCAGTGTCCTCCAGTATTTAATCTACCTCTCAAAATTAATCTGTATCTTTTAGAGCAGCTATCAAAAAGCAGGAAAAGGGAAAAAAATAATTAGGAAACCTTTCTCCACCAGGTTACCTCTTCTCTGAAAATTATGTTTCTTAAATATTTTTGCTCAAATGATTGCCCCTCCACCAGGTTACCTCTTTTCTGAAAATTATGCTTCTTAAATATTTTTGCTCAAATGATTGCCCCAAATGTTCCTTTACTTTTTGTTTGTTTTTACTCTGGCACAGTACTTAGCAGCAAAACAGAAAGCTGAGTCAGGAAGATTGAACACAAGATGGATATTCAATTCTCATCAAATCTTATGGTCTTCCTATGATGGCAAATCTATACCTGAAATTTCACTACACTGTCACACCAGTATTACTAGCTAAGGGAAGAAAGTGTGAGAAAGATGTGGAATGAGGAAAGAGAGAAAACAGAGAAGGGAAGAGGAGCAGGAGAGAAAATACCTAAAGCAGGGAGAAGGTATGAAAAAGAATGGAAACAAATGGAAAAGAAGAATGGAGCACCAATCAAATGTCACCATTCCCTTAATTTTAATCGCTGCAATACAAAGTGAACCAGCTGAGCTAAATACACATATTGCATGCTTACAGGTCACATGGAATTGGTGTTTTGTCTGGAAAAATATTATTATTATATCAACTGAAAACCGTATCCATACCACATAATTTCTGCAGAGATTTTTCTGAGTACGTTTCACGATCACAGCCCTTTCCAATGTAATTGGTCTGTAATTCAATGGTGGTGTGTATCAAGGAAACTGGTCCATCACACGTTTCTAGATGAATGCTGGGAAACAAAGGTATGCTGCCAGAACCAGGCCTGTATTCAATCCGTTTGTTCCAGTCTGGAAAAAAAACCAAAAGATCCAACAGTGATTACAAAAAGGAAGGGAGTTACATAATTTTAAATGATATATTGTTCTCAAAGCTCACAAGATAAAAATAAAAGTTTTTGAACTTGGCATCAGTAAGTTACTGTCCTAAAATAATTGTGTTTTGCCCCTCTTTGTAAAAGAGTGTCAGGCTCAATTAAGTACCACTACTGCTGCTAGAGTCACGCAAGAACGGCGTACATACATATCCTGACAAGAAGTGCTAATTGGTGTCATTCTGGATCTCCAGTGTCCGTGTCCCTGTGACAGACTACAAGCCAGCTCTCCAGGGTTGAGGCTGTCAGCCGCACTGAATTTGGTCAGTTTTCATAGATTTGTGATACAGAACAAATCCCTCCAAGGACCAGGCTATATATATGAGTGTCACTGGACTGTGACCAAAAGCTAATATAGCACATCTGTAGTGCCACTGTAGTGTCTTCAAATATCTTACTGATTTTGTGAAGTATTAATGTCAGAAAGTTACAGCTGAAAGGACTACTCACACTTTCAGCCAGATATGTCTAATCTGTGTTTTTTCCTATGCAGATATCTCACAGCCCACAACATTTAAACTATCACCTGCCTTAGGCAGCCACCTGGACACACCATACACATTACTATGCCTCTCAACTGAAGCATTTAATTTTTAAATCCAATTAATTATGGTGTTTTCAACCTGCTTCAGAGAAAACCCAAACAAGCAGCATTAATTAAAACCATGTATTTCAGCTATCTTTACAGTTCATGTTTTCATAGAATCATAGAATGGTTTGGGTTCAAAGGCCCTTTTCAAAGGTCACCTAGTTCCAACCCCCCTGCCATGGGCAGGGACACCTCCCACTAGCCCAGGTTGCTCAAAGCCTCATCCAGCCTGGCCTTGAACCCCTCCAGGGATGGGGCATCCACAGCTTCTCCAGGCAACCTGGGACAGTGCCTCACCATCTTTATAATAAAGATTTTCTTCCTTATATCCAATCTAAATATACCCTCTTTCAGTTTAGAACTGTTACCTCCTGTCCTGTCCCTACAGGCCTCAGTAAAAAGTATCTCTTTCTTACAAGCCCTCCTTTATGTACTGGAAGGCCGCAATAAGGTCCCCCCAGAACCTTCCCTTCTCCAGGCTGAACAACCCCAACTCTCCCAGCCTGTCCTCACAGGAAAGACGTTCCAGCCCCTTGGCCATTTTCATGGCCTCCTCTGGACCTGCTCTAGCAGGTTCACATCTTTCTCATCCATGTTAGCCAAGTTAACACGCAACATAAATAAGAATGCCACGTTAATACAGAGAAGCAAATACTTAATTATTTTTAAGTCACAAAACTATTCAGCTCTGCTACCTAATGTACGCATCTGTGTATCTGTAAAATTTGGCAAAAGAAGTACTCTTGCATACACTGCTGAAGTTTCACTGACTTTTTTTAGTCCTAGGTAAAAGAGGACTCCATAAATGGAAAAATTCTAGGCCTTGGCAGTCAATAAAATCTCTTAAAGCAAATCGACATTCTTTCTGAAAATCAGTGGAAGGAAAAGTAGTAATATATATACACACATATGCATTTAGTAGGTGAAGGAGTTTAGTGTTTTTCAACAGAACTATTTTTCAGAAAGCTTGAAAAAAGGTGCCCTCTCCCACTATCTTAAACTGGATTAAAAATTTACATGAAAATATAAAGCAAACATTTTGAAATAACTTGCATATCACTGACTAAAAGACAACTATGACTACTTTATTGTCTGTGCACACATCAGCTGAGTTTCCATTTTAGCAGTAATTTTCAGGTAATAATATTCAGCCCATTCATTCCATATTAAGTTAGATTTGAGCTGCAGTATTGCATAATTTGTCTGCAATTGTCAACTTAAACAATTCCCTTAGAATTTCAAAGTACATGATTGCAATAACAGATTTCTGGTCCCTAGCCATTCCAGAAACTCAAGGTTAACATTTTTCCAATCAAACAAGACCAGCAAATTCTTTCAGATACTTAAGATAAAAATAAAATAATTTGCTGTTTTGTATACATGCTAGCATTATATGAATTATTGATCTCTTATTCACTAGTTAAAACATTATATTCCTCTACCAAAAAGGAAAAATAGTCTTATATGTATCTGAAACATTTCTCACGACCTCAGCAGCTGTCAGCTTTCAGCCACAATTTCATTTCTCAGCTATATCAAATTAACTGGCACTCATGAAAAAGTATTCATTAGTCTATGTGAGATATGACTGAATTATTAACTGTAACATATCTGCAACTGCACACTCACCTCCAGTTATATAAAGAATGTTTTATAAAAACCATCTTATTTATTCCACTACTTACACGGAAGAATAATGGAAGACCTCTGTTTCTGCCTCATGAATATCCCTTGGATTGAAAGAGGTGTTTCATTTCACAGTATTACCTTTTAACTTGGCGAAAACAGTAATTTGTATCCAAAGATCAAAAACATTCTAAATCACTCACATTTATCTCAGCTCTAAATTGTAAAATATCACCCAGACCTGAACTAGTGCCTTTGTACCTTGGTCCCCTGCAGCATCACAGACCAATCCTCACCCTAAATCCCACTAGCACTTCTTTCACTGACCTGATGCAGATTTAAGTCTGCCAAGGAGTCCCTCTCCATGCAGAAGGCATTCCCAGGCAGGCACACGGCAATACTGGAGTATGATACAACCCTGTGATAGCAGGACAGTCCTTCAAGGTAGTATTTATGTAGTACCTGCCCCCACGGCATTTCAGCGTTCCAGAGGTGTTGAAGCCGAGGCCAGCACCCTCTGCGTCTCATCACCAGTAAAGTTAGTAATGTGCAAAGTGCATAGGGTTAGAACAAGCAACAGGCAGTGATGGCAGTGTGAAGAGCTTAATGGGAGTCTTTCCTTTAATTTTGAATACGGTGAATACAGTTATTTTTCTTTCTCCCAGAATGACATTCCATATTGGACACATTGAAAAGATCAGCACATTCCCCTCAGGAATGTGGTGGCACTTTTTTGATTCCTCTAGAACTGACTCAGAGGAAGAGTCTTATGTAACCCCAGTCTATAAAAACCTCTGAATTAAGATGCTTAAAACCTTTATCTTAAAATGTTACTTACGTCTAGAGTTATGCAAACAGTCAAAAGATATATAAACCCAGCTGAAATGGTAGGTTGCACTAGATTAGCTAAACTTAACGAACTTGGTTCCTCCTTTGCCACTAACTGACATGTGCCGACACCACATTACAGTGCAAACTTGGAAAGGTAAGCACTGTTTCCCCAGTAGAGGAGGATGACTAATCCCACAGGGAAAGCTTGAATAAAACTAGCCCTGTTTAGCCCTGTGGAAGACAGCCTTTGTTTGGTTTTTTTATTCAACAAGCTTTTACTTGCCACTTGTGCTATAGAGCTCTTTCAGCCAATATAAAACAGTCCCAGCTAGATTATACCTACAACACAAAAACATTAAAGTGTAAATATCATAATGTCAAATTTGTGGTTCAGATTTCATCAATAATAAAACTACTATGTAAATTTGGATCTCAATCTCCCAGATCCTCAAACTATTCCAAGATCAAAATGGATCAAACTTCAGTGACAATTTGAGCCTTTAAAAGTGAATCCCAATGCACTAAATAAATTTGCCTTTTAACAGAAGGATAACATAAAGACTTTCCTTGATCTCTACACTTAAAAGTTTTGTACGTGATTCTCTTTCTTTGTAATCCATGTCCTATATTTTAATTAATTTCTAATGTTTGATGACACTAAGAATGACTTAATCTGATTCTTCCTTGAAGGAGTATGGCACTCACATGTACAGAGGAGGTATGACCCGATTCATGTTGCCTCCTACATCTGTGTAGCCATGAACTTTGATTCCACCTCATGACATTAAAAATGATGGCATGGTAATTTAACACAATTGCAATGGTGCCTTATTATGCGAAATAAACATATAGGGATCTAAAAAAAATAGGAAACAACAGCACAGGATAAACTATTTGTTGTGAGATTTCATTTGAATAGTAACAGTTATTTACTGCAGCAAAGTGGACATCAGAGCCCCGAGTGCACTAATAAGCCTCCAAAAGCCTCGCCTGGGGCCTTGAGCCCTATTGAAGCTCAGCCTCAGCTCATCAGTCCTGGCTTGACCTATGATGCTATAGGGCTGGTGGTCTCTAGTGCAGCCACAGTTCTGGCCATAGGGTCCCTTTATCCAGAAGTCAATCCATGGACTGGCTTTCTGGCTTGGCAGACTGGCATTGTCACTATGGACCTGCCCAGTGACCTGATCCTACCTCTCATCTATGGATTGACTCCTTGGGACCTGCCTCTTCACCATGAACATGCCTGAGGATCTGGGCTCTTGGCTTACCCTGGCCCCCAGCTCTGGGTCTGCCCTGCTCACCTCAGTTGGGTGAGGGGTTGGCCACTGGTGATGAAGGCTCTGCCAGATCTGTTATGACAACTGGCTCCTGGCTTGCCTTCTTCTAGGGAGTAGCCTTGCCCTTGCTGCTCCTTGACACCAGGTTTACATGTGGTTAGACACTTCCAAAGTTTTCAAGAAGGACAAACTACCAAAAAAAGAAGTCATTATGTGAAGATGCAGCTTCCTGGAGAAAGAGGGCTGTGACTAGTGCTTGGATCATGGTATTCCAAGAGATTTCTCTACTGAGGAGTACACAAACAGCTTTTCAAATTCCAAAAGACAGACTCTGAAACACTACATAGTCTAGTTACTGAAATCAATTGAATTGAGGATGTCAAAACTTGTGGAAAGTCTGCAATTTTTAAGCCCATGGTTCAAGAATATGTGGAAGGTTTTACATGCAGAGGAAAAAAAAAATCACTGAGAAAACTTCAAACCTAACTTGATATCCTGTCGTGCTTTAACTTTTAAGCAGAGGAAACGTTATTGGAACCACCAGTTGTCTTTGCTACATACTTATCTCCCCAAGAAACACTGTCAACCTTCCCTGTTTGTTTCAGAAAACAGAGTCCTCTGATACTTGATTGGGATAATTCAGCTGATTGATTGAGAGGAGTTTTTTTTGTTTTAAGCTTTTTATGCAGCTTTCTGTCTGAAATTGTGTTTTAGGGAACAACCTGACTTCTGGTTTAATTGTCAATAGTTGAGCAGACCTATAGCAGTCTCAAAACACTTTTTAAGTTTTTAGGAACATGATTCTGCCCTTCATTTTTTGAGGCTAAGCTCCTCTTTATTTTCTCCCCATGTAGTACGTTATTCACCAGAGAGCTTGGTACAGGAATAATTGTTTTCAACTTTCTGCTATCTTGCATCTTTCAGCACATTGTTTTATATTTTATTTCCATTTGTCATCCCCCTAGGGGGGACAGTAACTTCTTCAGTGTTATGAAGACTGTTCCTAAAAGTAGCAGAAATGAGAAAATACAATATTATGGTACCATAAATGAGCTACAGAAAACATGGTCTAGACTACAGGTTTATGACTCTTTCATAATTCACTTTGTGTTTTAATGAAAATACTATATGGATATTCAGTAGTGTTGACAGAGGTCTGTCTACCCTGCTTTGAATAAGGCAGAAGTAACTTTACAGAAATCAATATTTGTGACATTAAAACTACAGTAGTGAAAAAATGACACTGAAGGTGTATCTGCAGGAAAAAGTGTGGTGTCTGCTCTGTGTTCATAGAACTAGAAACAAAGGAAGAACCCTGGAGGAAGGGACAGAACCCCAGGGAATGTCCTGAAAATAACAGGGGTTTTGTTAATATGGAAACCCACTAATTGTGTCTAAAAACAAATTTAAACAAAAAATAGAAATAACTTCAACTGTAAATCTACCTATTACAGTCTCAGAAATACTATCACCTAGCTTCTCTTTATAATGTATTTACCATATTATTTTATTTTTTTTCGCTAGCAACAGTTAATTTTTACAGATATTGGTTCAAAGTGGAAAAAAACCTATCACCTATGTGATTATCTTCACCTTTAAAAATAAGTAGGTATAAAAAAATCTCATTAAGAGAAATGGAGAAATTTCTGGAAGTACTATGTTGCAGCTCATTTTCAAATTATAATTAATGACTTAGTAATTAAGAACTAAAGTCTTATCTACCCAATTATTTACCTAAAGACCTTCTACCCTGTATAGGCAAACACCATCCACTTGCACTTTGTGCCATTTGACCTGGAGACACACCAAACTGCAGTGGTCACGTGTTTGACAGACTGAAAGGTACAGTTCCACACGGATGGCATGGCATATGCCAGAGCAGAACGTATTGAGCTATTTCATATTTTTACCTTGTCTATGATAAAAACCTATCATAAAATTTTAGAAGATCAGAAGGAAGAAAGAGTATTTGTGACAAGTTGCCACAGAAATAAACAAAAAGCCCAAATTCAAGCATAATGATTGCTATCAAAGCATATCCTTTCCTATCTGAGATACTTTAGACAAGCTGCTTTAAACTTTCTTATGTACTGCATTCTTTTATTGTGAGAGTTGTTGCTTTATATATGTTTTCTCTGCATTTTCTCACCATCACACTAAAAATAACAATCTGGCAACCTCTTATTAAATATCTAGTGTTAACCAAACCACCAGCCACATGCATCTCTGACTTCTAGAAGGGAAGAAAATAAACTTTGCATGCATAAAATAACAGCCAAATTCCAGCTTTACATTAAAACCTAAAATACTTCCTAAACATTTCACATAATCCAAGATAAATAAAGCATCAAAAAATTAGAAAACTTAAAATAAGGTTTGTTTTATTACTTTTATTGGCTAGCTGGTATCTACACCTACCTGATGGGACCAGCAATGACCATCTGCCCTGTAACTGATGCTTGAACTATGACAATATTGGGCAATATAAACGCACCATTAGTAAGGTATCTTTACAAAAAACATTCAATCAATAAAATAACTAAATGGAAAAAATATGGAAATTTAAAAAATCAACAACTGTACCTATTTTAATACAAATTCCAAGCTAATTTGCGAGTAGACTCCATAAAATGGAAATACAACATTTCTACTGTGCAAACAGACCATATTGGTTAGAATAAATCATGGGGTTTTGAACAATAAGATCAGTTAGAAAATATGGAAATAGTTCACAGGTATTCTATTTTTTTTTTTTTTTTAATAAAAATTCTCTTCAAAATACTTTGGTGGGTAGGGAACTAGTACATCCCTGAAAAATTAAAATGGGGTTCTGCTGTAAGGGAGGACTGAAAATGGAATCATGATATTGCAAACATCTCATTACAAGGTCCTCTAGACCAGGGCTTCTCATTTTACAAAGAAAACCTTTTTCCTTCTAAATGTCAGTCTGTAGATTTGCCTTCAAATACAACAGTCAAACTGATTTTTTTCCCTCTCAATCATTCTCTTTAAAAATAACATTTATGAAGGTCAGGTTAGTCTTGAATGACATCTGCATAATGTGGTTACATCCAGTTGGTCTGTCCCTAATCCAGCCCTCATTTTCATCTTAATTCCTTATAATTTGTGGCATATCTATCTTCCTACTACAATTGTCAGCTGGGTTTTTCTCCATTTTGGACAGACTAGACTGTAGATCCTTACAAACTTTTTAGAAAATCAGTTCCTACTGAAATGTCTCAATAAGGAGACAGTAATCAGGATTTTAAAAAAGCCTTTTCACTCCCACTGCGAGCTGAGCATGCCTTGACTCATGCATGCACGCACGTGAAAGCCAATTCTGCACCTGGAACAAGATAATCTGAACAACTCTGGTGCACATGGGAAAAATATCTTGTCATGGAGGCTTCAAAAGTTTTATTTGAAAGAGTTGTAGGAGAAAGGCAAACCAGAAGCATTTTTTTAACCTTTCAGTATATTCAGACTGACTTAAAAGACAGCTTATTGTAATAGAAATGTGTCTCTTTTCTTTTCTAATCTGTTCTTTGTTCTGACTAGAGAAGAAAAAAGGCAAATGTAAACATGTATGGGGTTATTATCCACTGCTTTAACAGGCTTGGAATGAAGTAAGCGTAAGAAATAGCAGCAGTTTTCTACACCACTCCAAAAACACCCTAGTTTCCTTACTGTGAGGTAGAGGGAAAACAGCAATGAAAAGAGATTTAAACAAAAAATTAAAATATATAAATGATTAAACCTTACCTTGCCAGCCTGGTTTGCACACTGGTTTGACATTAACTCGTACTAAGACATCTTCTGTTGCATGTTTTTGCCCACAGTCAAAAGCTGTTGCCCTTATCTCATACTGGTGCTGTTTATCATAGTCCAATTTCTCAGTGTTTCTGATGTTACCTATAGATTCAACACAAGATAATATTCAGAAGTTACTTCTTGGATAAGCATATGCAGACCATAACATTTGGGTCCTGGTTATTCAAATCCTTTGTGACCAGAAAGTTCTGTGAAGCAAATGGGACATCCACAGGCAGGACAGTTCTGAGGAACAAGAAGCATTTTCTTTCAATCCAGCAGAGAAATAAAGAGGTTCTTAGGCAAATATAAGATACGAGGGATATAATATGAGCATGTCTATATCAGAAAACATCTGCTCAACAACACTTTCTAAAGACTGTAAGACTGACTTAGCACTTAGATCTTGACAAGCAACATTTGAGTAGGTGTAACCTCATTTTCCACATCTTCCCAGAATAGACTGCTTTAACATGGCAGCCGCTTCCTGGGACGCACTGCTGAACATGTCCCCAGCCCAAGTATCTTCCTTTTTTTTCCCTAAGGCTATTACCCTTTAGGTGAGAGAGACTTTTAGCCCTTTAACACCTTTCCCTGGGTTTTAAAAATATGAAAAGCCTCAGAATCACCTTCCACATTAGAGCGCTTAGCAGTATTTGATATGACAGCACAGAGTTATCACATGGAGAATAACACCCAGCAACAACAGAGATTATCACCCCTGCCATAAAGGCGACTAATTACTGCTTTGGGAAAAAAAAGACATTAAAACTTCCACAAGGAAAGGGAAAGATCTTTCTCAGAGTATTTCCTGCAGGACTGGAAGATTACCATGCAGAATGTATGTTTTCGTAACTAACGAGTTCAACATTTTAATTCTGTCCATTTTCACTGAAACACACTTCTTGCTCAAATTGAAATTTGAGACTGTTTAATACATTTCACATTTTTCCTTAGGGTTGTTTATTATATCATCTTTTTGAACAAGAATGTTCTAGAATTCAAGAAACAAACTTACTCTGGATTAATTCTACACATTACAACTGCTTTCAAGCATGGAACCGCAAAATCAAGTTGTTTGGGCTAAATCTGGAATGGGGAACACCTAAACCCTGGAGTTTAGTCAAATACAGTGATCTGACTCCCATGGCTGCTGGTTAAAGTCTCTGTTGTTAGGCACGTTGGCACTGTCTGGGGTTTTAGGTGTGGGATTTTTTTTTTTTTATTCAAATAAATGAGAGACAGATGAAAGCAATCAAATGAAACTTCTTTTAAAAGTCTTTCACTAAACTTCAGCAGGTGCCTGTCTCTGATGCACACTTCTTATCTTGTCAGAGCCCAATACTCTTCTGACAACTACTACGTTAAAGCCAACTTTAGTAGTTTAATTTAAACTGATAAAAAACTTCTCAGGTCAGGCCTGAAGGAAGGCTGCTGTTGCAATTACCACCATCTTCTGGTGGGGGGGGTGACACACACGACATACGGGATGGTAATGAGCAGCTACATGGCATTTGCTGCTGCTAAGTGGGTTAAACCATGCCATAATTATTGCATTTTTCTGTTACCTTTGATGCTTTACGCTTCTTCGTTATTTTACAATTTAATCAATAGGATTAAAAAGTAGACACAGAAGGGAGAACTATAACTTATAGACTAGTTAAAGTTTTAGAGACTAGACTGAGAATTTGTATTTACCTCTCACCCATAAACAAAAAGGTAATCTATAACATTAAAAAAAGAACATTTTAATGGGAGAAGTAAATACTCTTCTACACAATTCACAATTAGGCCATAAATTAATTTTTTTCCATCTTTCTAAATCTCTGCCTTTTCCTGAAAATACCCAAAGCTATAACAGATTTAAAAAACAAAAACAAACAAACAAACAAAAAAGACAAAACCCCAAAAAAACCAAGAAACAAGATAAGTGACAACAAGAATACAAAAATTCCTGCCTGGACACACACACGTTTACACCTCTGTTTCTTCAGGGTCAATTTTGGGGATAGTTTGATACAGACTTCGCTCTTCTATGGCTGTCTTTCATCTTATTTTGGAGCAGTCACTACAACGCAGAAAGACTTGACTAATTTACTATGGTAATTCCCCCTTAAATGGCAGACACGCTTTGTGTGTGCATAAGAAGTATAAAACTGAATCTCCTAACTCTTACAAGAGATGAAGGCCAGGGTTGCTACACAAGTAGCCTCTGACTTCAGTCTGCTCATAGGAGTGGCAGCTCAACATTCCCAGCTGCCAAGAGCCACCAGGAGCTGTCAACTGAAGGATTAGAATTGCTTCTTGTCAAAAAGCTGCACTTTTCAATTACAATGGAAAGAAATAGTGGTTTAATAAATAAATACTACATGCAAATGCTTAACTATAAAGTTTCACTGCTTTTCTGACAATATGAAGTTTGCATAGCTCCTAATACAGACCTTTTCAAGATAACAAAATGCTCCCTGCATTGATCTAGACACAAAAAATAAGTTTTGCCTAAAAAGACAATGATCTGCCAAAAGAAAAAAAAGCTGATGGAATAGCATGTTCAGCTTTCTAAAGGCCTGTGTCTGTGGTTTGTTTCATAGGTTGGTGGTGAAAAAAAAATCCACCATCTGGGACTGACAATGGCGTGTTTTCCTCACACTCCCCCTATTTTTGAGGTCCTCTGCAACATTCAGATTTGATCCTAAACATCTGGTTAAACACTTTTTCTGGGCAATGAAATTCCACACTTATGATATTGAAAAGCAGAAATCTTCATAATTTGCAAAAGATATAAGAACCCATATTTGTTTCTCACAATGGGTAAAAAAACCCAAACAAACTATAAACAAAATCCTAATTAGCACAGTATTCAGAGTCAGTCCCAGGAATCCTGTACATCTATTTTAATCATCCTACAGGTAAGAAAAATGGGCACAATGCCGAAGAATTTGCACCAGTGAAAGTTTGTATCAGCTAGCATAGAAAGACATTCTCAGCAGTGAAATGTGTTGGAACTAAGTAACATATTTCTGTCACAAAATAAAACTGCAACCATCTATTCTAACTCTGTGTCTAATCCCAGTGGGTTTAAGCAATTACCATTATCCAAAAAAAACTGCAAATTAGACTGCAGTTACTGTTGATTGTGACAGCACTGTGCTTTTAGTGAACAAATAGATAAAATAATATTAATTGAATTCATGACCAAGAAACTGCAAGCATTACAACCTTATACCAATTATTCACTGCAGGCTTTAAAGTCATGTTTACATCAATGGTTTTCTCATTGCCTTTGCTGAAAAGCAGGCTTCAGGCACATGAGGACAAAGATGTAACCAAGGATTCCTGACAGTTCACATGCTTTTGATCATGCCTCTGACTGTAAGAAACCCATGATCAGTCATGAGTCAGCTGCACAGTGTGACAGGAGCTGAAAAGGCAGAAGCAATAGAAATGTCTGCTCTGTATCACGCTCATCTCAGTGAAGTATATTCATCCATGGTATCAGCTACAAACCTGGCGAGCTGTGACTCGCGCAAGTAAGCAGCCCCTATGCTTCTGCTAGGAAAGACAAATCAGAGCATTGTTCAGCATGTGCACAGGGTGCTTATTCTAGGGAAAAAAGTTCTGTGAGCATAGGAATTTCCATTTTGAACTTCTGCACAAGTATGCACATGTGAATATCAACAACAAGGACCCTTATCTACAAAGTGATGCCACTTTGATGGGACTGCTGAAGTACTTGAAAGACAGAGCTACTATTTTGTATTGTCTGAAGCAAGCAGAGAATGGGAGAGAGGATCATCAACACATTTTTAATGCAGCCCAGACACTTCTCCCAAACTCAGTGTCAAGTTCTGTGCTTTCTCCTGGTGGGAACTTGTCTGGGAAAAGAAGGAAGCTGACAGAAAGGGCCGCCAGGGTCAAAAATTGCTGCATATGGGAAAATTATTATTTTTCCTATAATGTTATATACATTAGAAAAACAACTAAAATTAAAAAAAAAATAAAAACTATACTAATTCTCCAAAGTATATTTTCTTCCATCTGATCTGCTTCAGGAAGCACCGCAACCAAGTAGATCAGTGGACCCACACTCAAAGTTTTAACAATCAACAAACATATCCAGAATACCGTCAACTCCAAATTTAAACTCTGCTCTAGAAAGTTCAGAAAGGGACTAGCTATAAACCAGTGAATAAACCCTATCAGGTAAGGCTATATGCTACACTAGGAAATGGCATCACTTGGATGGGAAACTATATCTGGCACAATTAAGAGAATGGACTTGGTGACAGAGAAACATATTGCTCATCTAAAACTGGGGGTTTAATTTCCACAGTAAATTACTGTGGCACTTTCTGACCAAATCTTACGTAAAAGAAATGTAATTTTGCAGCGTAATGGTTCCTTCATTCTCAGAGATGAGAACAGGATTAGTCTTCTGAGTTAAAACATGGGCCAGGTTATCAGCTACTATCAATAGATAATTACACTATCTACAGAAATTATTGCTATCTGTCCTAGAACTTACAATTGCTCCCCCTCCATACTCACCGTTTCTGTCAATGGCAAAAGGAACATCAGTTGTGACAATTTCATAATTGCAGATCTGGCTATACTGTGGAGAACAGTCCTCGTCTATTGCTTCCACCTGTAGTATGCTGTCATAGATCTTTCCCTCTGTCACGGTGGCCTTATACACTCTCTCCTTGAAAGCTGGTGAAAACTCATTGACGTCCTTTACCTGGATATGGACCACTGCCCTAAAATAAGTTAATAAAGACATCAAAGGAAAAAAAAAATTTATCATGACACATCACTAACAGTTTTCAAAACACTTGAATAATAAAATATACCTAGAAAATGACGCAAACATTTGCTAAAATGAGATATTATTGAATTGCTATGTTTAATTTGTCCAATTTAATATCTTAATGTGGCACGAGGTAAAAAACCTATTAACAGAGCTTGCAAGTAGAGGGCTTTGCACTGCTGGTCTGCCTGTCAAAATGGACCCCAGCAGAAAGTCAATGACATTGTACCAGTGTAAAATGGGTTACTAAGCAAAAAAAGAGGAAGAGAATTACATATTCACTACCTAAAAATGGTCAGTTTATGATCATTCTTCAATATTAAATAATCCTCTCACCTTCTGTTGATTAGAGTTATCCTATGCTTTAATTATTTACAACATTGTACATGTAAATCTTTGAGGATCAAAAATAACAGGCCTCTAGTATTGAATGAGCAAACTCTAAAGGCCTTCCTTTGAAAGAGTTTGCTATCTGGTTTGATAGGCAACGTAACAGAGGGACAGAGAAGTGAAGGGATGTTCTAGATCACTGGCAGAGCCAGCAGCAAAGGTTGGGACCCCAGACAGCCTAGCTTAGCATGTGGTTTACGATACAAACCACTATGAGAAAGTGTAACAAAGTCTGATCCCGATGGGCCAGATTTCATTTGGCTAGGATTAGACCAAAATTTTCCAATGTAGAGCGTACTAGCTTGTTAATGACATGTGAGGGAAAAACACCATAAAATCTAATAATATGAATCAAAAACTGTTTCTGCAACTTGATGGTTATTTGATATTGTAGGCTTCCTTCTAAACGTGTTTTCTTTTTAAATATCCTGAAAAAGTTCAGCATGCGCTATAGAGCTAATTAAATTTTTAATTGCCATGTGTCCTGGATGAGCAAAAATCAGGATTACTATTAATCATTTATTTAAGTGGCTCTCAGTAAAATGAACAATTTGTGCAGCAGTTATACATCTACATGTGAGTTAAATTCATCTTTAATGAAAAATGGTCTGGAGCTTGGTTCCATAAATTGAAGGGTAAAAAAGCACTGTGTCTCTTAAGGTTACGCAGGGAATTGGCTCCACAGTAAAAAGTAGCACCTACTAACCTTCAATACCCCTCTCTTCTAGAGGATTTGAATTCCTCCGAGACTTGCTGTCCAAAAGCTCAGGTGAGAAACATGCTGTGCAAAGGCAACACTGCTGCAGCTTATATACATGCACATACTGAAAGAAATGAAAGGGTGATTTCTCTGTTCTTACCATTCAATGAAATGAACAGAGAGAAAATGCATTTAGAATTTGTAAGTATCAATTAAAAGCTAGCTTCCATGTCCTGGATGATCTGTTGAGTCAATGTATTTAACAAAAAAAGCAAGAGTGGAAAAATAAACCAAAACGGAGATGCATTTCTCCACTTGAAAAGGGCTCCTGTTAAAAGCTTCAACTAGAACCATTGCAGAATGGGTCAAACTGCAGGAGGCAAAAAAAGAAAAATATCTTCTAGAAGGAAAAAGGAATAAAAAGTGAATGGACTATTGCAACAATGTCTCATCTTGGTTTTATTTGCTATCTGACCACAATAAAAAAAGGAGCCCTCCAATCTGATCTGTGCTGTAGAGCAAACACATGCCAAAGCAAAAAAAAAAAAAAAAAAAAAAATCTCCTTTTTTTCCCCTATTTGGGAGTTTTCTCCCAGAAAAAAAAAAAAAAAAAAAAAAAAAAAAAAAATCTCCTCTTTTTCACCTACTTGTGAGATTTCTTCCAGTTTGTTCCACCTGGTCCTGATCCACAATCATACGCCTGGATGATGAATGTGTATTCCTTCTGCAGTTCACAGTCAATAGGACTTTTTGCTCGAAGACGACCTTCTCCAGATGTCTTGTTTAACACAACAGCTTCGAAGGGCATTTCTTGTCCGTGGATTTTAAAAGCACAGATTTCACCTGTAAGGAACAGTATAAAACAATCATAACCAGAGAGGTCTAAGTGTTATGCACCAGCGTGACACTGGAGAAGTTAGCACTCACTTGTATTTCACAGGCTGTTATAGACAGGGGAAGTACAGACTCAGGCACGAGTTTATAACACATCCAAAAGGGGCATGGGCCACATGCTCATACAGCGTGATGTGGTGAATGCAACTCTGGTCACGTATTTCCCTCTTCCTCTGTCATTACTTAAAGCCCTAGAGACTCTTCCCTAGATATGATACTACCATCAGCACTGAGCTAAATTACTTTTGAGCTAAATTAAGAATACTGTATTTAGTTAAAAAAAATAGAAGGAAAAATAGAGAATATTTTAGAGGTGGTCTTTCAGAGACAGTCTTTTCCGTCACTCCTTCCTTGAGCTGCCAGGTGGTAGCAGATGTTCAGATTCTTGCAGTTTAGTTTCCCATTAGGGAAAAAAACTAATGATGCAGAACATGGGCACATTCAAAATACATGCTGCTTTATTTACAGACATATTTCATATTTGGAACAGAATTAGCTGAAGGAACACAGACAAGCATCCCTTTTGGGCATCTCAGTCACACACTCATACATGAATGCCTTCTTGGCAGCAGCTCACTCTGCCTCCAAACTGCTGCCTAATATAATAGATCCATAGCTTCTCTCAGAGGAATACTATATAACAAAACAGATGATATAGCAAGGAGTAAAAAAAAATTATTTGGACACAAAAGACAACAAAAAATATTGTGAGAATATGAGCCTGGAAGGGGGGAAAAAATCCCCCAGTTTCTGGTCATCCTTTTTTTATCCTTCATACTGATGGCAAGAATCTACATGCTAAATTAATTTTTAGCCACTCCAGAATCCAACTTTAAAAATGAAATATTTATACAAGGACCAATGTGCCTTAAATATTTTTATGACACATTAAACACATGCTCTTTTATGAGCAAGTCAGTCTTGGGACATGCATTATAGATTCAAAGCTGTCTCCCACTCACATAATTCTTTTCCATTTATTTCCAATTTACAGTTGCAGCCTTTTGGAAATCTTCTTGCCAATCACATCTGAGTCAACTGCCAAATTCTAAAATAAATCTGAATCTATGACCTCTAATTCAAACCTAGCTCCTCTCCCTCTTTTTCTATTAGAATATATTGTTGGTTTTTAGTGAAGAGAGTAGACAGTGACTTCATAAAAGTGCTGGGGTTCATAATCCCTGTTATGTGTGAGGAAGAAACAATGGGAAGGGGGTGTGTGTGGGGAGGGTGGGGATTAGGTATATTTATATACTGTATAAATACAGGCTTTTTAGGATATTCCCTCAGCTACCACCACATAGGTTTCTCTTTACGATAATGGGAGCTGAAGCTGAGCTCAGTGATATACACTGACATTTAGGCAGATGAATCCTCCACTTAACAATTGTAATCAATCCTATGAATGTCTTTACAGGATCAGCACACAGTTGTTTTAGTAATTATGAGGCATTGGGAAAATACATTAAGTATTTGCTTGGATGTTTGCTTGCTCCAGCCCCTCACTCAAGTGGCATCATTCACCCTCGATGAGCTCAAATATTTAGGCTACAGAAGGAGGAATAGATTCTACCCTGAGAATCAGACACTGTAAAAGACTAATACTTTGCATATCCATAAAAGCAAGCTCCACAATGTTTATGAACTGCTGCACAGGAAACAAAGCATAAGATCAAGAGAAGGCAGAAGTGAAGCAGTTTGTTCAGCTTTGATTGTGGGCACTGATCACTGAGATTGTATCGCAATGTTATCACACATATCTCTGAAAAAAAATTATCCTAATTTCCCAGCAATTTCAAAATGAAATATTAATCAAAAACGATATTGCGGATTTCAGTTTTATTTTTAACTGAATCTGAAATTAAGAGTGTAAATGTGTGAAGTCTAGTGGCAAAAGACTATTTGTCGTGTTCTACAAAAGTGGCCTTCATAGTTTATTACCAACAAAGTTTTCCTCAGATGCACAATCCATCAACAGAAATCATAACTTCAGAGTTCTGTGTTTATTACTTTATTGATCGACTGATTGTAAACAGTCCAGCATTTCCAGACATCCAAACCTACTGTTCTTAAAAAATGGAAATATCTCCGGGCAGAAAAAAAGTTCTCGCAGCCTTAGCCTAAGCATTTATCATTTTTTCCTCTCCAAATGCAGAGGCCTGATGCAAAGCAATCGGAGAAGCAGCACATGCAGTAATTACTTCTCAGCAAGTAATTTAGAAGTCTCTGTATTTGCTCCTATGCTAGATACTCCAGCTTTATATGTATCTCTAATTTTGTCTGTTACATCCCCGCGTGCCAAAGATAAAATAATGACAGCTGCATGGATATGGGGAGATATTTGTAAACACACTGCTAAAAGCCCACATACACATCCAGATCCTGGCTACTGCAACCTACTTATATGAAAACAACTGTGCATGTTTTTAAAAACTAGGTAAGAATTTTTTCAGAAGAAGGATTCTCTTACTGTTTCCAAAGAAATGAGTTAACACTGTTGAAAAATAAAAATGCATAGTAAACATAATGATTCTAAAAAGGTGCGTTAATGACTACATTAGAAATTAAAATAACAGAGCTGTAACAAAGCAGAAAATTTACACCTTTACACTGCCACACACACTTACAGATAAGTAGAACTACTACTACTAAGCACTACAAAGTGTGTCTTTAAAATATAACGGATGCTATTTTTCATTATTAAATGGAGCTACAGGGCTTTATTTAAACTCAGCTGAGCTAACCTCAGACCTAGCTGATGCCAATGGGAATTGTGCCAAGCTTACATTATTTATTGGGTTCTTAGATACATATTGTTATGTAACTCGTTTGAGGAAAGAAGAGAGCGTCTCTCTCTTACTCAGGCTCACCATGTAAGCTGCAGAACAACCACATTCAGAACCTTGGTACCACCCACCTTCCTTCTCCTTCGTAAGGTTGAAATAATTAACAGTGCAAATTGGGACACTGTTTTCCTCACAACGGACAACACAGCGAAATATTAACCTTTGTCCTTCATTTCGTTTGAATGGTTTTGGGAACAGGTGAATATAGGATTTAGCGATCATAAAAATGGTGATGGCAGAGAGTTGACAAAATAGGTTGGTGATACCACATAAAGGTAGAAGCACAACCATGAAATCCTACAGCAATTGCACCTGGGGAAGAGGGAAAATATCTCTTCTCCCAGGGCCAGGATGTACTTCCTGAGGGTTTCCAGTTGCTTCCTATAAAATCTTCTGTTTGCAGGGCTTAACTTTACTAAGGATAGCTTCATTTTAACACGTTTTAATTAAATTTTGGACATTATGTTTTCTCTTAATTTGGACTGGCATTAGCCATAACAACTCATTAAGTTTGAAGCCTACATTAAGCTGAGAGCTCTGGTAGAGATCCATAGGTTACTACCACAGGGATAATAATAATGTAATTTCCTCTGTAAAAATTAGAATAGCCTGAAAAAAAGCTATTGACAGTTTGTCATTTCTGAAATATAACCAACAAATCTTTCCACTGTTTAGAAATTCCTAAAGACCCTGTTTCATATTCAGCAATATTTACGTGCAAGATTTAGTGATTATAAGCTTTCATCAACAAAGTTGTAGTACAAATTATTGCTTTTTTAAATGAAAAATGAAACTCATGCTTCTTTCAGTATAAATAAAAATCCCTAATGTTACTCTTTTAACAGCTACAGAGAATTATTCACTTGAACTCTATTTCAGAAGTTACTAAAGATCTTCATGCTTATTTTGCCCTTCACATCTACCTTTGCTTTTTCTTCTTTCTTTACACCAAGAATAGAGAAGGCTTAAAGTAAAAAAGCTGGGATCTCTGACTTTTGATCATTTTCATCAATAGTTAATAAAAAGCAACAGTTGTATGTGAATCAGCAATCATCAAATGTTGTTTCGTTTGGTTGTATGAGATTCAACAAGGTGTCAAGTCCTGCACTTGGGTCACAGTGGGTGTGTTGGTTGACAGCCGGCTGAACATGAGCCAGCAGTTGCCCAGGTGGCCGAGAAGGCCAACAGCATCCTGGCTGGTATCAGAAACAGTGTGGCCAGCAGGACTAGGGAAGTGATCATCCCCCTGCACTTGGCACTGGTGAGGCCACAGCTGGAACAGTGTGTTCAGTTTTGGGCCCTTCACTACAAGAAAGACACTGAGCTGCTGGAGCACGTCCAGAGAAGAATGACAAAGCTGGTGAAGGGTCTAGAGCACAATTCTTATGTGGAGCGGCTGAGCGAACTGGGGTTGTTTAGTCTGGAGAAAAGGAGGCACAAGGGAGACCTCACTGCTCTCTACAGATACGTAAAAGGAGGATGTAGCAAGGTGGGTGTCGGTCTCTTCTCCCAAGTAACAAGTGATAGGACAAGAGGAAATGGCCTCAAGTTGCACCAGGGGCAGTCTGGATTGGGTATTAGGAAAAATTTCTTCACTAAAAGGGTTGTCAAGCACTGAACAGGGCTGTGCAGGGAAGTGGCTAAGCCACCGTTGAGGTATTTAAAAGATGTGTAGATGTGGCACTTAGGGACATGGTTTAGTGGTAGACTTGGCAGTGTCAGGTTTATGGTGGGACTCAATGATCTTAAAGGTCGTTTCCAACCCAAATGATTCTATGATTAACTGCAACCAGAGTTCCCTGCATGTTCTATCCTCTCCATTGGCCTTACGATTGCTTATGGAGAAGCGTTTACACAACTGTGTTCAGGACATGTGTATGCGCGTGAGTGTATGCATATATATTTGTTCCTGTCATTAACTCCCAAACCGCTTTGTTAATTTCAACTACATTTTAAAAAGATGAATTGTTTCCCGCAAGTGATATGAAATTATGAAGCTGCACAATACAGAAATGCTACAGAAATAGTGTCAGGGTGACAAAGATGTCATATCTCTCTAGATAGCAAACAGTCCACACAAAGACCTTGTAAGCTCAACAGGAA